ACCCAAAAATTTTATGCTCGCAACGAATTTTGGATCTTCTGTACAAAGAAGCCCCGGCCACTAATGCGAAAATGTGAGATTTGAGGAAAACATCTTCACGTTTCAAAATAACTAATTGGATACCATCCAGTTGAGGTTGGAATGATTTGGTATTTCAAATAAATCAGAAAATTTAAAAAAAGTTGTATCGGTTATACTGTATCCTTAAGAAAATTTCTGTGGGTTCTGTGGAATTCCGTATTTGTGTGCGATTACGTCATCAAAAAATGCGCACTTTGTGACGGTTCCGCTTTCACGTTAGTTGTGAAGATTTCTACCGGTACTATTTCGTTTTTGGTCTTCGTGTCTATATATTTGAGCATCTCTCTCTTTTAGAATGGTCAAGATACAGCCGAGGTTCGCGGTTCGAGTGACGTAATCGTACTCGGAGGCTCGCCCGGGTGTTCAAGCACGGAATTTCCGTACAAGTACTGCAGCATTTTCGACTAGAATTTATTGGTCGAGTATTGAATTGTTCGAGTATCGATCGAGGTTTCACTGTATATTCTTTGATGTTTCAGTGATGGCCCGTGAGTGTGCGTGACTAGAGTGATTTCTTATAATCAACAGGTCACACACAACTGTATCGGATCAATTCACAAACAACACATGATGTCATAATAGGACGGCAGGCTAGGTGCGGGCTTGATTTCGCAATATTAAAATTTGATTCGAGCCAGCTCGTCGTTGGTTCCCAACCTTTTTATGGCTCGTGTTCCCTTCCGGAGGATTTCAGCACTGCTGGGCCGCCTGTTTATCAATCCAGTGTTATTACTTATCGATTTTCACTTATCGATTTTAATCGGTAAGTATGTTGATAGGTATTTGTCTGTTTGTCTGTTAGATGCACGCGATATCTCACGAAAGCGAGATTGAATCTGCTCCAGATTTTGCATGTGCATTCATCATATGTCGTACCAGCAGCCTATTATGTCGTTATCCCGAATTATGTCGTATAATTAGCGAGTAATTAATTAATTAGTGATCCGACACAAGATGTCACTATAGAGTAAGAGCGCTGTTTTGGGGGATCCCCTCACTTTCGATCGTTAAGTCTTCGGTCTCTGACCGATATTCTCGTTTATAGTGTTATCGTGCACTTTGTGAAATACCCTTATCAAGCACTGAAACTATGAAGAACGGGGAGATTTCTTGTAAAGGGGAATTGTAAAATTAGGTTTGCGCCCAGCATTGGGGCGCCTCTCCAGCGGTTCTATGACCCCCTTGGTGGGCCAGGAGCTCCCGGCTGGGAACCAGCGGTTCAGTCTGAGCTCCGAGTTGAAAATATTCCGACTCCGGGTTTAAAAAATTCTCGATTCAAAGACTCGACTCCGAAAAAAAATCCAATTTTTGTAAAATAAATTTGGAGTGTGCGAGACCCCTTCATTACTTATCGATTTTAATCGGTAAGTATGTTGATAGGTATTTATTTGTCTGTCTGTCTGTCTGTATGTCTGTCTGTATGTTAGATGCACGCGATATCTCACGAAAGCAAGATTGAATCTGCTCCAGATTGCATGTGCATTCATCTTATCTCGGACCAGAAGCCTATTGATTTTGGGTGAATTATGTCGTATAATTAGCGAGTTATTAATTAATTAGTGATCTGACACAAGGTGTCACTAAATAGTTTGTTTAATCGCTAATAGCAAAATATTTGCCACTCCCAAAATTTGGAAACAGCCTACAAGACCATGGAATTTTCACGAGTGAATTTCCGCTCTACTGATGATTATAATGTTCAACATCATTTCCTCATTACACGATGTGTGTGCAAGGTCGCACAATAACATGAAAATTTCAGTTAAATTTCCGACTTTTTTGAGAGGATAATTATGTGTAATTTCCGTTTATATCAGTTTAACAGTGACCACACATGGTCCGAAGGTTCTGTGACATTAATAACTCCATCTATGCTCATCTATAACAAGGAAATTTATACGTAGGCAAGCAAACAGTTGATTCAAACTGCAAGTAGTAGCTTGTGTGCCATCGGCAGTATATCATGTGAGCGCGCTTGCTTAGATGTTCTGTTTCCGAAGTTTTCACTTATTTTAGGCTATTGTTTGTTTTTATTAGTACCCTGGACAGGATAGAAAAGTCACGTTAGAATGTTAGGTAATTATGAGAGCCAGATAGCCAGGAATTTTCCTCGTGGGGTATCTGAAATTTTTCGTTTCAATTGGCATCTAGTTTCAATCGACACGCATCTTCCTCTGATGGTATTAAAGAATATTAAAAAACAGCGACACACAAAACTCGACTGCCGTCCAAGTACCCATGGAAATCTTCTCGTGAAGCCCTGGGCGTTCGCGAACCCCAGGTTGAGAACCCCTGAGCTAGCGGGTCCGTTCATGCTATAAAAATCGTTTCTTCAATGGTCTCGAAACATTTTTTGTTTATATTTTAAAATGTCAGGAGGGGGAATGTTTGAGTCGACTCCCCATTTTTCTTCGCCCTTGATGAAAGTACAGATATTCCAAATCCGGGCGGAATTCATTTCCAAAGAAAAATTTCGATGTTTTGAGGAACATAATTTCACTTTGTATTTGTGTGTGGTAAAACTAATATTCTTTACCTAACTTTTTTACGCCACACTTACATGGGTATTCAGCCCGGATAGCAACTGTCATAATGGCAACTTCATAATAGCGACGTAATCAAGTGAGCGACTGTCAAAACAGCGACTGTCATAATGGCAACCGCAATAAAACAGCGACTGTTATAATAGCGACTTAACTCGTGTTAGGGTTAGGGACCTCTCTACACACGTATGCACGCACAAACAGGCAAACACTGCATAGTGAAAGATTGAAACCAAAAGTGACTTCAAAACAAGATTTTATTTGGACTAACCCTAACGCTATCATAACAGTCGCTGTTTTAATGTGGTCGCCATTATGACATTGGCTATTTTGACAGTCGCTCACTTGTAGGGCTGGGCATTTCGAATCAAATATTCGAATCGAATCGAATAGTAAATTATTCGAATCGGTTCAGAGCTAAATTTCGAATCGCCGCCATCTTGTTTTCAGCTTTACGCTAATGGTCGAGGTGAATTCCCCAAATTTTTTTTCATTGGAGATTGGAGTCATATTTATTCAACGAAATTCTAACATATGACTATTTTCTGTAGTGAGTTATTGATAAAACGTGTTTGTTATTTTGTGTGAATGCTCAGTAATCTATCTGAGTGATTTATTCTATGTTTTCAGTAATTCATTTGTTGAGAGGACCAATTACTATAATAAAGTCGCTTAAAATTATATATTTTAAGTATTCGAGATTCGATTCGAAAAAATTATTCGATTCTGAAATCACAAGGTATTCGAAAATGCCCAGCCCTACTCACTTGATTACATCGCTATTATGAAGTCGCCAATATGACAGTCGCTGCTCTACCAGTCGCTATTTGGAACCCGAGCCACTTACGGCTCACAGGGTACGCCCGTCTAGTAGGACAGAATTTTTAATCCCTGGTCCAAAATCTTTGGTGGTGTCGCTGGTTATAAATCGCGGAATGAAATCCCCTAAGGGTGTAAATAAATTGGGTATGCGATTCTTGAATAGGAAAATTCCTGTTTTTCAAAAGTAAGTAGCTTCTTACCTAGTTTGGTTGCTTTACAGAGCGATTTCTTTCAGCATCAGAACAGAATCGCGTTCAAGTCCATGCCTCCGAAAACAAATAACGATAATCCCGAAGTATGTGAACCAAGATGGCGGACACCGGAACGTAGTATGTGTACCAGGTTAGGGTTAGGCCACAAATTTATTCCCATCGTACTTATTTTAGTTCTATTACGAGTTCGGGGACTAGCCAAGTGACACCCGTAGTATTTGTACCTGAAATTATGGCCTAGCCCTAACCTGGTACACATACTACGTACCGGTGTCCGCCATCTTGGTTCACATACTACGGGAGTACCCAAATGACTGGCTGGATAATCCCATACCCGACATGGACTGGAAACCGAACGAGAGTCCGTGGTTTACCATATGAACCCGACACTGAAAAAAATTGCTCCCGAAAATACAGCAATTTTATGACGCCATTAAAAGGTGACGTCATGATTTCTAAACAAATGGTTTCCCAGACACATCATGAGATCAATCAAATGTTGATAAAAATATCCCACCTGCGTTATTTCCGCGTGTGAGGTCACAATTTACTTGCTCTTTGTAGATTAGATTCTAAGTAATTGCTCTCCATTAGAAAGGTGTTATATTAATATTAATAATTGACATACTTTCTCTCCTAATAAGGTTCTCTATGAGGAACGACTAATGTGTAGGGCTGAGCATTTTCGAATACCTGATGAATTCAGAATCAAATCAAATATTTTTTCGAATAGAATCTCGAATACTTAGGAGATATAAAATTGTCTGTAACTTTCCTATTGTATTAGGTCCTCCAGACACATAAATTCGGAAAACATAGAATACATCATTAATACAGACTGCTGAGCGTTCATACACAATAAAAAACATGTTTTCAATAATAACTCACTGCAGAAAATAGTCATATGTCAGAATTGCGTTGAAAAAAGATGGCTTCAACTAAAAAATTGAGAAATTTACCGCGACCATTGGCGAAGTGGAAATACCGATTCAAATAATTTACTATTCCATTCGAAATGTCCAGTGCTACTAATGTGTAATGGCAGAGTCGTTTGTGGCTATTATATCAGTTAGACTGCGCTTATTGCTACGGGAAAAAAGCCTATAATATATTTTTGGAAACTTAATTCGACTGTAGACTTTTTAAAGGTTCGAGTTCTGGCCCAGAAGCTTTGATTCACGTAACGTCAATATTTAGACATCGGTTTCCGACTTCTAGAAATTTTAGCGTATACGTCTTCGACGAACAACAACGAAAGAAGGAATTTCCAGTACCCAGACAAAATCACAGGCAAACTGCCAAAATACTTTTTCTATTTTCTGACAGGCTAGAATATCAGATATAATTTAAAGATCTTTATTTAACGGTCGCGGTAGCATACAGCGAGTCGAGTCGGATTCACTCACTTTTGTGCTTGCATGCACACGACTTGGCGAGAGTAAGCTTTGCATAATGGCTTTGCTTCTCCACTGGATTATTCTCATCAGTTTCTTCCTTCTGGCCTCTGGGAATCATGAAGGTGGTAAAAATATCCTTACGTTAATTTGTATATTGAAATTCCGATAGTCTCGTAGCATGTGTACCAGGTTAGGGTTAGACCATAATTTTATTCTGATTTTCCTTATTTTAGTTCTATTACGAGTTTGGGGAATGCCTGTGTTAGCCAAGCGAATATACCACCTGTCCTTAGGTTTCAGTCCCGTTACACAACTTAATGTAAAATAGGCGAACAAATTGAGGTTACATTCATATTGGTACACGTACTTCTGGAGCGCCGGAATTCCTCCCATGAAGGGATTCAAAGTTTTAGAAACGGGTTCTCTTTTGCATCGAACTTATCAATAACGGGTTCGCTCAATTTGGAGAAAGTACGTTGACTCTGATGACCGTATGGTCGCATCGCTCCCCCCCAATCTATACCAGAAAACTTTGCTCATGTTCTTATTTTTATTATTTTTGCTATTCTCGTTTTTTCCAGTTGTTGAAAAATAAATATCTCTCTCTCTCTTTCGCTACGTAAGCTGCATTGACATAATACACTTAACATGACTCTAACACACAACGTCAAATAAAAGGTACTCCCGTAGTATGTGAACCAAGATGGCGGACACCGAAACGTAGTATGTGTACCAGGTTAGGGTTAGGCCATAATTTTAGTCCAATTTTCTTTATTTTAGTTTTATTACGTGTTCGGGACTAGCCAAGTGACTCCTGTAGTATTTGTATCTGGAAATATGCCTAACCCTAACCTGGTACACATACTACGTTCCGGTGTCCGCCATCTTGGTTCACATACTACGGGAGGTATTATATCCATGTCCAGTATTAGATTAGTGAGCTTGTTATTTGTTCCAATTGCATGTACTTGATGGAGGAGAAAGCCGTCCATGGGTACGTGAACCACCCTGCGGTGGCGAGGAGTCCAGCAATCCTTTCACACATAATTAGAAGCGCAGTTCTTATCACTTTATGGCAGCTCCTGTTACAAACGAACGGCGGCGTCTCTTGTGTGTTTCCTAATTTAGAGGGTAGTAGATATATTGTTATTAGTGGTAAAAATATTTGCAACTTAACTTATAAAAATGTGTTATGTATTTAACTCATCATTTGCACTGATGAATATGCCACTTTCTGAAAATTCCAGATAAAATTTTATATACCTTAAGAATTATAGTATGATGTCACAAAACTTTAGGAGGGTTGTTCAGCCCCTATGGGGCGGATGTAAAGAAGTCACTGAAAGTACTGATTACCAATTTTTCTAATACAGATACGTTCGTCAAGGTAGTCGTGCACGTTGGTCTTGGTTGTGGGGACAAAGACGGAAATATGGAGATTGTTTTGGGAAAGAGCGACGACTTCCAGAAGGTAAGCAAATAAGTGGTTCACCGTAAGAATCCGTTGGGTAATAATTATGTGCAAAAGGATTGCCGGATTTCTCGCCCCCTTACGGTGGTTATTCACGGTCGTTTTACGGTTACGGCTTCCTTTACCACCAAGTCCATGCATCAGAAACAAATAACTAACTAACTAATCCCCTACCCGACATGGAATGGTAACCGGACGAAAGACCATGATTTGACATTTGATTAGGCCATCTTATCGGCTTTCCCCTCCATCGGATAAATATTAACCATCTATCATAATCTATCATATGTAGTTAGTTACTGAATCGTTCTACCTCTGTACATGCATTCACTGCTAGGTAGATTTGGGGCTGGGTTGCGGATCCCCCCCCCCCCCCCCCTCTTTTTTTTGAAATGTAAAACAGAAGCTTTTTTATTTATCACACATTACAATTTTTTCGCATCGTGAAACGCTTTTCAGATACTCAAGACTCCCCTACGTCGGATCCCCCAGCTGTTTCGGTATAACTTGGCAATTCAAAATTTCGGAACCCCTTCCCCAGTGGCGTAGCCAGGTTTTGCGGGTCGACTGTCCACTGTCCACTGCCTATCATTACTGTAGTATTTATAGTGTTATTTTTAGTGGCAGATTTCGATATCCATTACGATTAGGTTCAAACACCTCATGCTCAACTAAGAGAAAATAAGGGGCTCCCGAAGTATGCCATCCAAGATGGCGGACATCGGAACGTAACATGGGTAACAGGTTAGGTTTAGGCGATAATTTTTTTCCAATTTTCCTTATTTTAGTCCTATTATCAGTTCGAAGACTAGCCAAGAGCCTCCCGTATTATTTATACCTAAAATTATGGCTTAACCCTAACCTAGTACACATATTACATTGCGATGTCCGCCATCTTGGTTCGCATATTTCGGAAGCACCGAAAATAATCTATGAATAAACAGTGTCAAGCAATGTAACTAGGAAGAACGGGAGGTTTTCTTGTAAAGGCAAAATTAAATCAGTTCTGCGCCGAGCATTGTGCTCTCCGCCAACTGCTATGAGGCCGCCTTGAGGGCCATGGGCGCCGAATGGGAAACACTAGTCTAACTCTTCAATTAATAGGCCATCCCGTTTTTTTTTGCATCATTTTCTAAGCTCAAAATGATATTTGCAATTCGTTGTTTTTTATGCTGAAAAGAAATATTTAAATATTTTATTTTTTTTATTTCAGATTACAAGCGAAGCCGGTGAGCATCATTAACTTTGACGATCAATCAGCAGTCAAGTTTGTAAAGCCGTGTTTCATTGTACCAGGGCTGTGGAGTCTGGAGAAATTTACTATCAACTCCGACTCCGGATTTGATTTCAACTCCGGTTTAAAGCAAATTTTGACTCTGGCTACGACCCCGGGTTGAAAATATGCGATTGTGACTACGACACCTGGTTAAAAATAATTTAACTTCGAATTTTGACTCCGACTGCTACCCCGGGTTGAAAATATTCTGACTCCGAACACGACCCGGATACGAAAGAATTTTGACTTCGTAACTCCGGATTGAAAAAAATATAGACTCCGACCTCGGGTTGAAAACATATTGACTTAAAATACGACCCTGATCTAATATATTCTGGTTCCGACAGCGACTCTTTAAAATTTTGACTTAATAATAAACTCCGGGTAAAAAATGCTTTTGTCCTCGATTCCGCCGTGTTGCAGAATATTTCGACTCCAACTACGACACCTGGTTAGAAATAGTTTGACTGCGAATTTAGATTCCGACTCGACTCAAAATTATGACCTTATAACTCCGAGACGCGAAAATATTGACTCCAACTACGACCCTGGTTTAGAAATATTTTGAATCCGACTCCGAAGTTGTGAAAATTTTGACTCTTTATAAAAAAATTTGCACTTTCTGATTCCGGGTTGAAACATTTTTATCGCTTCATTCGATTCCGGAATGAAAATAAAAATTAACTTTAACATCGGGTTTGCCGAATATTTTGAATCCGGCTACGACCCGAATTTAAACAATTTGACTCCGACTGCAACTATGAGTTGGAAAAATTTTGACTTCGTAACTCCGGGTTGAAGATTTTTTGACTCCGAATCCGCTGAGTTGGAGAATATTTTGACTCCGCCTATGACCTTGATTAATAATAATTAACTGCGGCTGCAAACCTGAGTTGGAAATATCTCCCTGACTCGATAATAACTCCGGGTCGGAAAAATAGTGTCTCCAACTACGACCTCGGGTAAAAAAACTCCGGGTTGAAACATTTTTGAATCTGACTACGACCAAAAGTTTCAGAATATTTTGATTCCGACTCTGAGTAGGAAACATTTAGACTCGGACAGCAACTTTTCAAAAAAAAACTTTATAACACCAAGTTGGAAAATATTGACTCAGACTTCGATCCCTGGTTGAAAATATTTTGATTCCGAATCCGAGTAGAAAACAATTACTCGAGAAATTCAAATTTTGCTAACAAAAATTTTTGTAATACAATCACGAGAAATTTACTATCTCTATCAAGCGATGTTAGATTAATGATTCGTACGATACCCAACATCAAACACAGTAGTTTCCTAATTCTAAAATTTCAATTTTTCAAATTAGATATATATGTGAACCTTGGGTGTCGCTTATTCTATTTATGGGTTGAAATAAATAAACTTGACTTGACCAACATAAATTTTCGCTTATACAGCCTTGACCTGTTCTTTAAGCCTGTTCTTCTCAATGAAGTGACTCGTACTAAAGTAACTGCCAATAAGACCCAAGTAAGTGACTAACTGTCGAAAATGCGTGAATGTACACCGTATATCCCCCTCCCCTCTTGAAAAACCATGGCCACGCCCCCTGTCAGACAGATATCAATGGCCGCTCATACAGACGGGCTTTGTTCATACTAAAATACGTTGATGTACATCGTAACCCCCCCCTCGTCCTTTTTGGAAAATCCAGGCTACGTCCGTCGCTAGATAGATATCAGTGGACTCCCCCCCCCCTCCCTCCCCCGTGCAAGTTTCTGGTTATGTCCCTGCTGGATAGATATCAGTGGAAGCCTATACCGGGCATTCGTCCGAACGAAAAAAGTTGAATGAGAATCGTAATAAAACTAAAATAAAAATGAGCATTTATTTGACAGATTTACGACAATTACTCCATGACAAATTCCACGAAGCTATCCAAAATTCGCCATGCCCTCTGGCGTCATTGAATGACGCAACAATTGAGATCAAGACCGACATTGAAAAAGTGCAGCCGACGCCAGTACGGACAACATCGACATCCACTCTGAAACAAGGTATTTTATTATTATTATTTTTCCCGGAGGAGAGGAAAGCCTATAAGATGGTTAATTAAATGGCGAACCACGGCCTCTTGTCCGGTTAACAGTTCTTGTCGGGTATGGGAATAATTAGAGAATTACTTTTTTTTGAAAGCAGTTCGACTTTAGGTATTTTTTTTGTTAGACTTTCGTATTGGGGCCGCTGCTCGATAACCAAATTTGATTTCCCGCGGTTCCCCCAACCCTGAAATGCTTTTTCATTATTTATTACAATTTGAATATCAAGTGTGCTCTGAGTATGATGAGAAAATAAACTACTGAAAACTGCATGAACTTAATAGTAGAGGTTACCTGAACCACTCTGTAACGACGAGGAGTCAAACAAATATCAAAACAAACAAAACTTTTGCGTATTCGAGCATTCTTTAATAGACTGTTAAGGACGCTCAGTAAACTTATTGAATAATTCAGAGCAGGGGTCGGCAACCTTTTGTCGCTCGCGGGCCAAAGTAAAGGGTTGCAGGTCATTGGCGGGCCGCACGTATTTTTAGAAAGTTGAAAACTGAACGAATGATCTTTTTTATAATAAAAATCAAGCAGTATCTCTCGAAATAGAATATAGATTTATGTCCTCATTGCATTGCATTTCAAAAAATTCCATTTGGATAATTTCGGCGCCATTGAACCCTTTGCAATTGGCATCAACTTTTTCATATATACTTGTTAGAATATAATAAAACAGCCGTCAAAACAGCTGTTTGTTTCTACAATTCAGTGAAACGTCGCGGGCCGGATTATATTACTCCGCCGGATCCGGCTCGCGGGACGTAGGTTGCTGATCCCTGATTTAGAGGTTCTGCTGAGAATTTTGAATTTTTTTTTATCACTATTGAAGTATGGAACTCAGACTCCGACGAAATTAGAATGTGTCTACGAGTCGTTGAGAGCCTGCGAATCACTAATTGACTAAGATCATTTAGAACATATCCTTGAGAGAACTTAACTTTTGCGCAAAGCGCCCTAGTTATTGAAACACTTGGGTACAATCGCACACAAATGGGAGCTCCAGTGTCCCATTTTAGTAGAGGTAATTTAGAAATTTATGGTTATATATGGAAGTCCTACCCAGTAGAAATATGACATAATATTGTTCATGTTTTCGGGTGTTACTGCTCGATTACCAGTATTGGTTTTTCGCCTCCCCCTTTAACCTTGAAATGCTTTCTTATTCTATTCTACACTGTATGTACTTTACGTTATTACTTATCGATTTTAATCGGTAAGTATGTTGATAGGTATTTGTCTGTATGTTCGTCTGTTGGTCTGTTAGATGCACGCGATATCTCACGAAAGCGAGATTGAATCTGCTCCAGATTTTGCATGTGCATTTATCTTATCTCGGACCAGAAGCCTATTGATTTTGGGCGAATTATGTCGTATAATTAGCGAGTTATCAATCAATTATTGATATAGTGATCTAGATTTTTGAAAGCCAGAGAATTTTGAGACCCGCCGAGTGTGTGTGTGCGATGCGCAGTGCGCAAGTTACAAGAGCGGATGAATCGAAACTGCAGTTTCTGTTTTGGGGGATCCCCTAACTATCGATCGATAAGTCTTCGGTTTCCAACCGATATTCTTGTTTTAGCATTGGCGAATTCGCTTACACACGGCGATTGGCGCATCGGGGTAAGTGTTAGAAACAAGCTTGCCAGTGGTATAATTCTACACATGCCGAAAATACAAATTGTATATATATGTATATACATATATATATATACAGAATAAGGAAAAATAAAAAAACAATGCATTTCAATGTGAAAGGAGACGCGATAAACCAGAAAGAATAATAATAAAGAAATAAAGAAATTTTGGAAATGTGCTACATTTAAGCGATCTGATATCCGAGTGTCACTCGGTACAATGAAAGCAAATTACTCCAGACACGATAGGCGCCATCGCATCACTGATTACCCTGCATGAGTTCGCAGGTTCGAATTCGTAGGGTGAAGATTGCTGGTCCTGTCGCCGTCAGAGTGGTTTACGGTTACGGCTTCCTCCTTCCGCTGTACTCCCCTAGTGGAATTTAGTATGTGTACCAGGTTAGGGCATGATTTCATTCCGATTTTCCTTATTATAGTTCTATTACGAGTTCGGGGACTGTCTGTGTAGCTAAGTGAATATACCATAGATTTCAGTCTTTTATCAAACTTGATGTAAAGTAGGCGAACAAAATTAGTTACCTCCATATTGGTACACACAATTCTGGAGCGCCGCTTCCTCCACCATCATTTCCATGCTTCTAAAACAAAATATTTGACCAACTAATCCAATACCCGACATGGACTGGTAATCAAACGAGAGGCTGTGGTACGCCATATCATTATGTCGTCTTATCGGCTTTCCTCTCCATCGATTGAAAATTATATCTTATTCTAATTCTAGTTCTCACGACCACGGCGGAGCAAGAACCACAAACTATCGCAACAACGACCGTCCAGCCCTGCACCGAACCAACCGAAATATTCAGCTCAAAGTGCGTAGACGACCAAGGTTCTCCAGTAACTGTATGCCAAACAAACAAGAATGACACTGAGAACAGTGAGAAGTTTTGTTCTTCTTATTATTAATATTAATATCGTTTTTTTTTGCTCTAAAAAAGCTCATTATTGCAATAGCAAGGTTACGAAGACTGAAGTTTAGGTGTTGGCTGTTTTGAGTTAGGGTATAAAGCAGCATAGGCGTAGCCAGGAGGAGGGGGTTGAGGGACTATAGGGCAACAAAGATTCTACCCTATCTGCGTGTCCACACTCCCGTGTTATTGAACACACGTTAACAGAGTGTAACTCCGATGTTGACTCCTTCAGAGGTCAAAAAGCACACAATGTATTGAATGCCAATTGTTATATTGTAAAGTTGCACAATCGAATTGATCCAAATAACGAATTACACTTGAAACCTTCAACGATTACATATAAAGGAAATGAATTGGGACAACGACCTTGTTTCAGGCAAATAACATGCACTACTAACAATAAGTGGTGAAAATATTAAAATACACAGTAACTATCCTTATGTACTTGCTACAGGACGACTTCCCTCGTTCCTGGAATAAATATTAAAGTCATTCTCTATTATCACATTTTTGTTTTGTATTTAGATACCCCATACTTTGCAATCTCATTGGCAGCTGGTTCTAATCTGAAACTGATTACCAACATTACCTCTACGCCAGAAGGAAAATGCACTGATTTCAGTTTTCTGTTCATGAAGGTAGCCAATGGAACGAAAAAGGTGAGTGGCCAATTTTGTCTCGCTGGTTGGCGCATTGTTGAGAATACGCTTGATATCTCACCCTGATTACCCCTCACGTGTTCAAATCCTGGGGTTAATTATGTGCAGAAGGATTTCTTGGCAAGGCGTCGTCATTGGGTGGTTTACGTAACCCCTTATCGGTTACGGCTTACCCCACCATCAAGTCCATACATCATAAACGAACAACTGGTTAACAAATCCCATACCCGACATGGAATGGTAACTGGACGCGAGGCCGTGGTTCGCCATGTAGTTTAGCCGTTTTATGGGCTTTTTCCCCCCCAGGGATATGATTACCCTCCGCAGGTTCGAATCCCGCGTTGGGATAATTATGTGCAGGAGGATTGCTGGACTCCTCGCCGTTGCTGGGTGGTTCACATAGCCGCTGGCTGTTTACGGCTTTCTTCACCATCGAGTCCATGCTTCCGAAAACAAATAACTGGCTAATTAATCCCACTCCCGACATGGACTAGTAACCAGGCGAGAGGCCGCGGTGATCAGCCTTTCCTCTCCACAGCGATGAATATGTAAAGTAACTAAAATCTTCATTACAGTGGTTCAACCAGGCAAATTACGGAGGCGACACAATCTCATTCGCAACTCCCAAGTCTGTAGATGCAATTCGTATTGAGCATGAAAACATCGAGAACTGCACCATTACTGTATTTGGATGCTGAGAATAGAGAACACCGTGAATTTCGATCCAAAGTTAACGACAGATTTTTAAACTACAATCGCGACAGTGCTTTCATTTCTCGTTCGAGTTTTAGGAAGCCAATATTCACCAAATTTGGATGTTACATTTTAATCCATTGAACATTCATTCGACATATTTGTTTTTATTTTATTTGATACTTTTCCATGACACCTTACTAAAACTTTCAGAAAGTCACACGAAGCCCATTATTTTACCCAAAATTTGCGCTTTTATCAATTCATAGGCATCTTACTATATCTTTCTGTCAGCTTCACGAAGCCATAAATTCACTGCAATTTTTGCTATTATATTCAATGATAAGAACACCTGTATAAAACTTTTAGTTATGTTTTACATAGTCAAATATATTATTTAATGTGAATATTTTTATATGGCACCTTGCTATACCATTTATTTTCTTTCCTTCATTTTGCGAGACGTACGAAACTCCCTTATTGGAACTTTCTTGCTGATGGGAACACTTCGTATTATAGCTTCCAGTTGGCTGAACGAACCCCGGTATTTTACTAAATATTTTGCTGTTATATTTAATTCATGGGAGCACTCTTCTATGACATCTTGATGTTTTATTTCATGTGAGCACTCATTTCTCATTCGCACAAACCCTGGTATTTTACCCAAAATTTTGCTATTTTATTTAATTCATGGGAACGCTCTTATATGACATTTTGCTTGAGGCGTACGAAGCCCGTTACTTCACCCAATTTTTATTATTTTATTTCATGAAAGCACTTTTGATGACATCTTATTATAACCTTCATTTTTTCCGAGACGTACGAAGCGGATATTTAATCAATATTTTTTGTTGTCATAGTTCAATTCTTGAGCATCTTGCTATAACATTTATTATTTATATCTTACCCCAATTTTTGATGTTTTATTTTAATTTGCAGAACTTTTATTATTATTATTCGAAGCTTATGAAACGAAGCCACTTATTTTTTTTTTCAATTCATAAGAGCACAGTTATATGCAATCTGGCACTTCGCCTGTCTTGTTTTTTTGATACACTTTGAAATTTTATCATGCCTTGAGCATTAACCCTTGAACCAGATGTTTCATTCTGGTTTTAGCAGGGGCTATGCGTGAGAACTATTATTTATACCACACCTGGTAATCGAAGGATAAAAAATATTCTGCGTACGAATAACGTCTTACCGAAAGGTAGTCCATGCTTAAACAGTCCGCTATAGGATTAAGCCATCAAGTCTCTCCCTATACCAGATTGCCAATTTAGAAGTCTTTGGTAAATGGAAGGAATAGCGTGGAATTTTGAAAGTGGTTAGTCGTGAGATTGATAATTATCAAGTTAGTTCAGGAAATAATATGTGTTGTCGAGTTCAAAAAGGGGGGCCCTCAAAACCCCTGCTCTAGCTACACGCCAGCCTCCAATACTGCTAATATGACCTACCATACTCTCTCGCTGAAAATATAACAATCAGCTTTGGTGATCTCAAGATCAACAAAATACGCAAAGCAGTGGCAGCATAAATTAAAATTTACTGATCCCGCAAAATATGCATAATTTTATGGCACCGATATAAACAATGGAAAACAATCTTAAAAATCGATCATTTCGTTATATGAAACCGGAAGTCCACTCCTTCCTTTTGATGCCTTGGTAACAGGGGTTTCCCCTAATTTTTGTTCCAATCCTTTCCAAGATCGTTCCGATAACTTTTGAGCTGCAAAATGGAAGTTTAAAAAAATTATCGAGTCAGCACTTTTGTCTGATGCACCACTATAATTTTACGGATCTCCAGTATCTAATATAGGGCGGGCAAATTACATCCGCCCCCCCAAAGTGTTTTATTCAGCCGACTTGTATCTGAAATTACAACTGTAGAAATGATTTAGCGCGGCGGTGTGGCTCAACGGGCTAATCGTTAGGAATATGCTCGCCACCGCACCTCTAATTACTCTGCGTGGGTTCGCAGGTTCGAATCGGCTTGGAACTAATTCAAAAAAAATTATTTGTTATATTTGATATTGCCCGACCTACTTAGGATATTTTAGTTTCTTTATTTTGGTTATTTATGTTGCATCCAATTCAAAAAATACTTTTGCTTTACTATCTGTTATTTTTTATTAAATAAAGTTGAATAGACCACCGATTGATATTCAAAAGGTTTACCTGACGAGTTTGGCCCAAATACTGCAACTGAAGTTTTATCATTTCTTATCGCTAATGCATCGGTGTTTTCTGTACAATTTTCAATGTCAAAATTATTGTTTGTTCTTATGTTGCCAGATATTAAGGACATTGTGGTTTCATCGTCTTTCGAGTAATTTTCTGGGAATTCGACAAAGTTTGTCCCGCCTGAAAAAGATGATTTTTCAACTTTTATAGTTTTATACAATGATTATTTATGATGTTCGCTCTCACCAAGGCACTTTAAAAGCATTCAACGCGGTGGTTCCCAAACCTGATTACGGCCCGCATACCGATTCAATATGGCCCGCCGAAGTGATATAGTTTAACACTTCATGTTTTTACCTTTTTGTGTTCTAGATACTGGCAATTCTTCCGTCATCAGCACAGTTTAAACACGTGTATATTTGTGACAATTCAATTATACCGGTATCTTAATTATACGGGCCTCCGGTGGGCGCTCTCTTCTCCCGGCCAATGAATATCCTTCCCCTTCTAATTTTGGCCCCCTGGTTCGCAACTTTGGGGGCCACTGAGCCCCAAGACCCTCAAACAAGAAGGGTTTTCGGAATTGGATATTTCTATGCAACGGCTGGTGCTCCCGAAGTATGCGAACCAAGATGGCGGACATCGGAACGTAACATGGGTAACAGGTTAGGGTTAGGCGATAATTTTTTTCCAGTTTTCCTTATTTTAGTCCTATTATCAGTTCGAAAACTAGCCAAGAGCCTCCCGTAGTATTTATACCTAAAATTATGGCCTAACCCTAACCTAGTACACATATTACATTCCGATGTCCGCCATCTTGGTTCGCATACTTCGGGAGCCCCCAACGGCTTCTGAAACAGTCGCAACGATTGCGTGTTCGTTAGAAAAGCAGACTTCTTCAGCGTATAATCAAAGTCTTTTTTTTCTTCTATTTTTGACCCCCCTGGCAGTGCCACCGTAATTTAATTTAAAAAATTATTGTTTTGAAGAATTAAAGTTTCACAATATGACTAAAAAAGGCTTTCATTTAATCTTAGAAAACTACAAAAAAATATATAACCAATCAGTAGATATGCTCTTTTCAGTAGTTATCAAACTTCATAGCTTTCTGTTGCAATATATTTTAGTATTTTATTTTTATCTGTGGACTGTCAACCATAACATTTTTGTATATTTTATTTCATTGATACAGAGTTCGAAATAAAGAACAGTTTGCAGAGTTAAAAATGAGTGAAATATTTAAGTAATAGATTTCGTGAATGTATGCGTGAATAACAAGCGTAACTGACTGCTAGATTGTTGCGTCCAAGTTCTGGAAAATGACATGGGACTCTTTCAAGTAACTATATTATTAGATCAGAAAGTGTGAAGTAAGATCTGCCCGCAGGACGAATCCTGCTTATTGGGCAATTTCATTTGGCCCGCCTGATGCTACGAGAAACAAATTTTAATGTTTTAGCTAGAAAACCGCTTAAGGAATTTGTTGAGATTTCGGTTAAATTTAGTTTTGGCACGAGGCGTATTGTTTTCCACTTTGCTTTTGTAACACACTGCTCATAAACTTTTTACGTCACACGTGAATGACCCGCTAGTCTAGGTGAGCCCAATTTTTGGCCCCTAGTCCTCTTAATACCCCCCCTCCCCCCGAGTCTCTAAACCCCCAAAATTAAAACTACTGCAAAAAAATCTTGTGTGCACAGAATAAACACGCTAACATAGGCATGATTATAATTTATATTAACTTAAATTAATAGTGTACACAAGAAATAGCACAGGGCTCACTGTGATCACATGGGTTACATAGGTCGCTCTTGTACGAAGCCCACAAAAAACTCGCACTGCATCCTCCCTCTCTACTGCCCACAGCGCCGTTTAGGTTGAGATTGCCTCAGGCCATCCCCTGCACTGAGACCCTCCCAAAAAAAAAAACTCTCTACTACACACAGCGCCGTTTAGGTTAAGATTGCCTCAGGCCATCCTCGGCACTGCATCCCCGCCAAAAAAAAAAAATTTGCTGCCCACAGCGCCGTTTAGGGTGTAGTCGCCAAGGCAAGCCCCTGCACTGCACCCACAAAATACAAAACTATCTACTGCCTCACCTGGTAATATTGTCCTGAAATCTGTAACATAATTTTCCGACCACTCTCTGCTAGGATTGCAAGCGACTTCAAACTCATAAGGAGTTACAACCGGACGATAAAAATTTGAGACGTCAATATTATTGTGCTCTGGGTTGGCAACAAGTACATAGATGTCAATCTGGAAAAACATTGAATAAAAATTTGTTTAATACACACATATGGGCACTCCAGAAGTGTGTGTACCAATATGGGGGTGACTAATTTTGTTCGCCTACTTTACATCAAGTTGTGTAAAGGGACTGAAACCTATGCGATGGGGTATATTCACTTGGCTAATACAGACAGTCCCCGAACACGTAATAGAACTAAAATGGGGAAAATCGAAATAAAATTATGGCCTAACCCTAACCTGGTACACATACTACGGGAGTAACTAAATATGTGCTGTGTTAGTTCAGAGATGTCTAAAACGAGTTGAATATTCAAATTTCTGGTCTGGAGCCACTAAATTCTGGCAGCTCCAGCTCCCATCTAATATGGTAAGCACGAATCCAGCCCCAACAAAACCACCTGGCTCCATGGCTCCCTGCTCTCCAGAACTGGTTATACATATAGTTCGCCTATTTTATTTTACCATGGGTGTTTCGGTTTTACAAAAGGTTTGACAAAAACAAAACGAGAATATCGGTCAGAGACCGAAGACTTATCGATCAAAAGTTCGGGGATCCCCCAAAACAGCACTCTTAACCATAGTGACACCTTGTGTCCCATCACTAATAAATTAATACCTTGCTAATTATACGACATAATTCGCCTAAAATCAATAGGCTTCTGGTCCGAGATATGATGCATGCACATGCAAAATCTGGAGCAAATTCAATCTCGTTTTCATGAGATATCGCGTGCATCTAACACACAGACATACAGACAAATACCTATCAACATACTTACCAATAAAAATCGATGAGTAAATAATTATTAAAAAGTCTTACTTCCAAGAAGTTTGCAAGTTTTTCCGGTGTTAGTTTCCCCATAATGAAAGTATAAATTTTCTTCCCTGCAGCTTTTCCTATCTTTTTCATATAATTCATGCATTCTAAGTATCCCGCAACTCCCATTGTACCACAAAGTATTCCGACGATTTTTGCATCCTTGGCTTTTTCGACGAGGTAATACCTTTTCATTAGTTGTCTGTGAGGTGAAGGATATTGAATTTTGTATGCCTTTTTATTAAAGAAGGGTGTATGAAAAGATGTTCCAAAGTTGATTGACTAGGTTCAAAATTGGAAGCAGAACAGTATCCGCAGGAGAGGGGATCGCCTGCAAGATACCGGTATCATTGAATTGTTATAAATATACACTTGCTTAAACTGTAAGAATGATGTAACAATTAGTAGTATCTAGACCGCAAAAACTAGTTACTTAAGTTTGGCAAGCCATACTGAAACGATACGAAGGCAGTAATTGGCTCACGGGCAGCAGTTTAGAAACGCTTGTTTTAGACAGATAAATTCGATGTTGGGGTAAACTGGGTCAGGGGTCAAATCAACCAGGGGTCACGTAAACCACTCTACATTGGTGAGGAGTTCAGCAATGTTCTGCACACATTTGTTCCCGGGCCTGATTTCGACCCTGCGTACGGTAATCAGGAATGCAATGGCAAGCATATTCTTAATGCTTAGCACAGGGTTACCCATACTTTTTGGGCCGCAGACCACTCTTTTAATATCGTTGCAGACCCCCTGTGCAGTCAACACTAACCCGCAGAAGTCTGTGAGCCCCCAGTTTTGGAAACCCTGGCTTAGCACAATATGTCAAATTCGAAGCCAACGTTGGATAGAGGATAATCGCGGCGGCGGTGTGGCTCAACGGGCTAAGCGTTAGGAATACTCTCGCCACCGCACCTCTAACTATTCTGCGTGGGTTCGCAGGTTCGAATCCCATGCAGGGATGGTTATGTGCGAGAGGATTGCTGGACTCCTCGCCGTCGTTGGGTGGTTCACGTTACCGCTGGTCGGTTACGGCTTCCTCCACCACCAAGTCCATGCTTCCGAAAACAAACAATACAGTTAAACTAATCCCATACCCGACTTGGAATGGTAACCGGACGAGAGGCCGTGGTTCGCCATATGGATAAGCCGTCTTATCGGCTTTCCTTTCCCCCGGGATAAATATGTAAATCCTATCCTATCCTAATCTAGTTCAAAAAGATATTTATTTTCAGATGCCTGTTCAGGTTATACCTGTTTGTATTAGATTGCATTCTCTCTATCCCAGTCTCTGGATCAAATACATGTACATTGCATGTAGGATGAGTCAGCATAAAATTCCTCAATGACTCTGCATTTTTCGACCCGAGGTAGAAAATACTGTAATCAGATAATTTCTTGTCAAATTCGAGTGGGATTGTATAGAATCCTGTTACATAGTCCTGAAAACATGAAAATATAGTTTTAGAAAATTGCTGGATGATTACTCAGTGAAATTCATTCTATATTTCACCTATGCAAAATATCTATGATTATTCTGCCAATGTTTCTGCTAACCCATGGTCGCGGGAATATCTAAACACATTAAATATCAAAAAAATAGTACCGTATTATGTAAATTTTTGTTTAATTTTTTTGTGAAATTTTGTATGCCTAATATTACTGATGTTGCCCAATTTTTTCATTTCATTACACTGTGCAGCAGCTCGAACAAAAGTTTGAGAAGATACCGCTTTGCAATAAGAAAGTAATTCACCTTGCAATCTGGATGATGCGAATCCCCATCCTCCTTACTGGCAGAATTATTTCCATTTGAAATATTTGTAGGATATTCCGTAGTTTCAGAAGCTTCATAAGAAACATCTTCACCCTCCACTGAAGCTGTACTAGAGTTTGTTATGCCATCTATGTTATTAATTCGGGTCAAATTTGAGTCATTTTTGGTTTGTCCAGGGTGAACTGATATTTTTTCTACATTTTCACTCAATTTTGAGCCCTGAAGTTCAGTCGGGCGTGTTAAATCACCCTTTTCATTTTTGTCTGTATTTTCTAGTCGGCATGGGCAACCAGGGCAAGATTTAGTACATAAGTCTTTTAGTATGTTTTCCTCCCCCTCGCCTGCTTGTAGCCCTTTAGCGCCACCAGGGTCTTTAGGAATATTGAGTTCACCGACGGACAGATATGGATATTCGGGAACGAGACGACTTGCTATCGAGTCTGAAAAAATAAATGTTCACCATCAGGTTAAGTTAGTGGAATCGTATTTATGGGACAATGGCCTAGTTCAGTGGTACATATGCTTTCATGAGCTATGGTCGGCTTCTAAAGGCACTAAATGCTCCCTGCCTGATCTGCTCTCAGAATACCTAGACACGTTACCAACAGGTATTTTTTGCGCTATGTTTAATACTAAAATAGCCAACAAAGGAAAGATAGTAAAAGAATTGCCTTAAAAAAATTGAACAAATAACATTCGACGCTCCAAAAGTGTATGTACCAATATAGAGGTAACTAATTTTGTTCGCCTACTTTACATCAAGTTGTGTGAAGGGACTGAAACCTATGGGCAGGGGGTATATTCACTTGGCTAACACAGACGGTCCCTGAACTTGTAATAAAACTAAAATAAGGAAATTCAGAATAAAATTATGGCCTAACCCTAACCTGGTACACACACTATGTGAGTACCTAATAATCAATAAAATTTGACTTGTTGTTATCATCACAAATGGGAACTAGTAAAGGTATTTGCTTGTTACAACCCAAGAAAGCCGAGAACCCAGTATCAGAAACTCTGGTCTAGTCATAGAAGAAGTACCAACCTGCTATGTAATCACATGAAACATGGTGCAAGAAAACAACTCTTGTGTCACATTTACTTGGGTACGTTTCACGAAAGATTTCACAAACTTTATCAGCGTCAATCAGACTAGGGTGACGTCCGAATACAAATAATGTTGGTATTGTTGCGGACGGAGCAAGTGAAGTTTCTCCATAATGAATAAGAAGATCTGATGTGATATGTTTGGCATTGACTTCATCTATGTCACAGCTGTTAAAACGATAAACATTTTTGTTTATTGAATTGAAATTTGTTCTTTCTGATTCTTCACACATAACAAAGAGAAATACACCAAGATGCCAAATGTTGGGAACTTACTCCAATACCAGAGTATATGGTCAAACGTCGGGGCTCCCGAAGTATGCGAACCAAGATGGCGGACATCGGAATGTAATATATGTACTAGGTTAGGGTTAGGCCATAATTTTAGGTATAAATACTACGGGAGGCTCTTGGCTCCAGTCTTCGAACTGATAATAGGACTCAAATAAGGAAAATTGGAAAAAAATTATCGCCTAACCCTAACCTGTTACGTTCCGATGTCCGCCATCTTGGTTCGCATACTTCGGGAGCACCCAAACGTCGAGGCAGAATCATTTAATAGATTTCACAAACCACAGTAAGATTGAAAAATATGGCATTGACTTCATCTATATTACAGTAAATATTTTGGCAAACGAAATTAGCCCTTCTCAAATAAAACTGTGATTTCACACATCTAATGGTGATAGTCAAAGTTAAAATTTCCAACGAAAAATCAGGAAGCATCAAGTTTACTAAACAGTCTGAACAGATAATTAAAGAATGGGAATAGCTAACTAGTTGTTAACTGTTACAAATGCCTGGAGGTGGTGGAAGACAGTGATGCAGCAAGAAATTCAAAAGTGGTTCTGAAATTTCTAATTGCCAAGTTAGATCGTAACAGCTAGCAGGTCCAATCCAGTAAGGCACACTATACAAAACGGGTGACATTGTCCCGTTTCAGGAAACCCATTTTACAGATGATCGGACACCCCTCCTTTGGGAGACGTCTGGACATTGTTGTCCCTCAATATCGGTAATAATACAGTATAATGAAGTTGCACAAAATACTACAAAAAAGCGCAATTCAGTAACGTCATCATTGAATTCCTTAGGAAAAGTTAATCCGATTTACCGAAGGAAAAAAATTTTACCGTAGCATTCGAGAGTTTTTAGAAAAAATGGGCAATTTTGGTCATATGACAGCCGCGATTAATTCAGATTATTATTGAGCCAAGCATGATATAAAGCATCTGACGTGGTCCCAGACGCCCCTCGTTTGTGAGACACATAAGAGTATTTGTTTTATTGAGCCAAATGGAGGGAAATTCTTGGAATTTGGATAGTGTGCTGTACTGCCAATCCGAGGACTGAAAACATGGGTTTACAATAATCTTGAGAGGCTACAAAAGAATTTCTATGATAAATTCAATGCATAATACATAAAAATGCTTTTTTTTACATTTCAAAAGAGGAAGCCACCTGACTATGCCCCTGATGAACAAGGCAATCATGGAAATTTTCAGAGGCATTTCCACACTCTCACTTTAAACTAGGCTCTATACATTCAGTCACTACTAAGACAAAAATTGTACCATTTTTGAAAGGCCGTATTCTTAACAGGCATTGCTTATCGCGGCGGTGTGGCTCAACGGGCTAAGCGTTAGGAATACGCTCGCCACCGCACCTCTAATTACTCTGCGTGGGTTCGCAGGTTCGAATCCCATGCAGGGATGGTTATGTGCGAGAGGATTGCTGGACTCCTCGCCGTTGTTGGGTGGTTCACGTAACCGCTGGTCTGTTACCGGTTACGGCTTCCTCCACCACCAAGTCCATGCTTCCGAAAACAAACAATACAGTAAAACTAATCCCATACCCGACTTGGAATGGTAACCGGACGAGAGGCCGTGGTTCGCCATATGGATAAGCCGTCTTATCAGCTTTCCTCACCCCCAGGATAAATATGTAAATCCTATCCTATCCTAATCCTATTGCACCTGAGTGAAGTTGCAATCTCCTAACCCTATCATCTTTACGCCGGGTTTGCATTAACAGCTTCGAGCATTACTATCTGCTTCTTGGTCTAAACTTTAACAAATAAAGATAAAAAACATAACTTACTGTCCATACGATGTATCAGCAAGTATATATATTTTTGCATCACAATTGATTTCTAATTGCTTAGCAACATTTGATGCATCAACGAGCAGAGAATCAGGAAACTGCAAAGATACTTTCTTGCACTTTTTCTCCTAAAACCAATAATGTATATTAATAGTTAAACATAGAATCTGACTATAATCAAATAATGACAGATAATTCTCATAAAATTATTAATTTGGTGTGGCAAAATAATTTATTCATTTTTTTTTATATGTATATTTTCCTTTTTACTGAGTAAATTATTTTATTTTCTCGCTTTTCTCACTGCCGACTTATCATGTCTCAGTCTCAATGATTGTATGTGTGTGTGTGCGTGCGTGCCTTAATTAGTTTTTATCTTTTGGGTAAGTGAACACGTACTACTTCTTTTATCAATACCTTTCCATCTAAAATCTGTACGTTTCAAACCTTACTCGAGGTTTCGATTGCTTTCCCGATTCTATAATCAGCTTTATTTATTTTGTTTTTATCAATTATTTTATCGTCTATTGCTGATTATGGAGCCGAAATAAACTTATACTTATGACAGGTAGCCTACACGAATCTAGTGTGTGGACTATAAATATAAGTATTACAATCATATTACAAAAGAACCGGCAAAAAATATCAACTTAATAATGCTTCACACAAATACAAAGTGAAATTGCTTCCCCCAAAACACTAGACACCATCTCCGTTTGGAAAACCTGCTTCAATTTCAGAACTTTTAGTCTGTGGTAGGAAATTTCCCAAAGATTAAAAAACGTTACTTGGACATGAAAAAACACTACTTACTTTTATGTATTTCACGCATCTTTCAATTTCGTATATTTCGTTCAATTTTTCTGCAGGAGTAGCGACCAAGTCTGCAACATGAACGTCTGTCTCTCTCTGAATTGTTGCTTCTTCGTTCGAGTAATAAGCTGACGACGATGCCATTTTGAAGAAATTACTTTATTTTTTTATATTTCAACGGCAATTTCTAATTTAGAATAATAAAAATTTATATAAATTCACTGAAAGGGAAAAAAATACGGGAACAGCAGCGACCCCGATCGTCCGTCCATTCACAGGAACAAAACAGTCACGTACTATACCATGAATCAGCGATTTTTAAATATCATTAGTAAGGAATTTGATGACGTAAAACGTTAATCACATGGTGAATTATCCACGATCGAACATGGCCGTAAGAAGTTCGTCTAGAAAATTAATTATCATATATTCATGCATGACCAGATAAAAATATAATAGCACGCTGCTCTGTTTAGTAGTTGCCATATTCCGATAATATAAGCATTATAAGGGACAACATTTGTAGTTTTCATGAAACATGTACAAAAGTTGGGTAATGTGAATCAGGAAAAGGATTCTTTTCGCCCCGTATTCGAAGCCAATGGTTCCCGTACATTTGAACCCACGACAATTGCATCTGCATACTATTGCACCTATGGAAATTCTTTTTGGTTTTGCGGATATTTGAACCCATACTAACCCTAACCCATGGGTTTTAGCACCCGCATATAGATTGAAACCGCGAATATACGCATGGGTTCAAATGTACGGTAACCGAAGCCAATAGAGCGCTGCTATGTTAACCACCGTGCCACTTGCACCCTAACATATATCTTAAAACTTTCTTTAATTGAAAATAAACTTATACTTCTAACTTAAATAGTATAACTGGAGCAGATCTCAATGCTGTTGGAAGTATAAGTATATTGTTTGAAGGGGTCAATTGTTTTGTAATATGACGTAATACGGCGTTTACTCGTGCTTTTAGCTAAAAGTAGCCTCTGATACCAAATATATCTTTAAGAATCTCTCTTCAGACTTACTTCGCTGTCGATGTTGCCCAAGGTTTATAGGTACGCATTTTCATATATCTCGATAAAACGTTCAAGAATAGGGCAAAATGGTGTTGGAAAATACGTACGAATTTAAAGCACTTCAATAGAGAAAGCATTATTAGGGGTTGGTCGACCTTGGAAGCCCGTATATATATTCCGTATATATTTTTATGCTTATTGTTGTTTGCTTATGCTTACTGTATTAGGTACTTGTATCGGAAATAAATCATTATCTAATAAAAATTGATGAAAATCCTGGGCCTGCTTTGGCGACGCCTATGATGACATCAATATTTCAAACGTTTAGCCTAATGGTCGTCCTGCACTGTTGAGAAAAAAACAAAAACACTTTTTTAAAATTTGGTCAATCGATTTCAATCTTTTACTACTAGATGGAAACAAAATGAGTAAGCTCGATATGCTGTTCGATTTGCCTCGTCAGATAATTTTTAGGTTTTGTATATTTCCGGACTCTTATCTCAACTGCTTTTCATGTAGTATTTTTGTGAATAAAATTATCGAAGTGTCTCTTGGAGACTTTCTTTTATCGGATTTGCTCAGGTTTTCCAGAGGCCTAAATTTTATGGATGTAAGAAAATCGAAAATGTCTAACTTTGCAAATAGGATTGTTTGTTTTTCTTGTAGTTTTTCCTATGCATGAGAAAGTTAATTAGCCGCAGAACTTTTTGTGCAACGAAGGAAAAAAGGTTGAGTACCACTGAGCTAGACAAAGCACCCTTTCGCCCCTCCCTCTTTCTGACAGAAAATGAAATCTGCAAATTTATGATTTTATCAAAGATTGAATTGGTCATTAAATGTAGAAAAAGTTAAGAAATTGAAAAATAATCACTGCGACTTCAGCACGAGACATACAAACTGCAAAAACAAGTTACAAACGACTTTGCGATCTGCACCAATCTACTGCTTTATTCCATGTGCTAAACATAAAAAAAACTGCTGCTGAATAGACAAAAAGGTGAGTTATCATTTGGTAACCAGAGATTCTCATTTTGAGAATGGCAGTAGCCAAGCAGTCAGGTATTCCAGTCTTAATCTAAAACGGTAGTTCTCGAGCGGTGGAGCGTAAACAATTTTTGAGGGGTCGTGAAGCTAATTAAAAACATATTCGTCAGATTTGATCTTGCCCGCCTTATTTTGGATATTTACGTTCCATCCACGTATTTTCAAAAGTTTTTTTTGAATAAAACATACTTTCGCCTCACTATCTATTATTTGTAGCTTATTGTTAGCTAGTCATTTTCGAGGTGAGGCCCGAGACTACACAAAATCTAAAATGGAGTCCCCACTTAAAAAGCTTGAAAATAACTGATCTAAAATAATGTCACTAGACTCTCTGTGGTGAAAACATGGCAACATTTACCCCCAACAAGTAAATGTACATCATTTCTAGAACCCCAGATTGCGGAGGCGTTTATAGAAGGACACGCCCTCAGCTTCTTTTGGACCCCAATCGATTTTGCAGTGATTTCGGTAATTTGTTTTTTATTTCTACATCTTGACGTAAACTTCTTTCTTTCCGTTCATTTTTAATTGTAATTGCAACTTGATTGACATCAGGGTCAGGCTTTTTACCCAGTCGACCCCAAACGCTATTTCCCCGGACTTGCACGTTCAAATTTCCACTCAGAGACGCGTTTTCTTGACTCCGTCGAGCAGCTTCGATTTTCTTTGCAATTCGATCTGCTCTCATTGTGTCTTCTTCAGTAATTTCGAACGAATCTTCGTTGTTTTGTACTGGGATTGCGTCATCGAGATCTTTAGCTATAAAAATAAAGGAGTTGTGAAATTTACTATCTTTTAGCTGTTTTCCTGATCATATTGACTTGCTTGAATTGTTTCAAAATATTGTCAGTCAATACAGGTCTTAAGTCTTGCTCCAGAGAGTAAATAAATAATAAAATCCACCTTAAGAACCTCTGATCTAAGGTTTCATATTTTTACAAAAATCCAACCTAACCTATTTCAGTCTAGTACAAAATACATTTATGCGACCCTGCATGAAACATTGCAGAATTTCTGTGAGAGTGTAATCAAGGTAGATTTATTTTTTCATCTATTTAATTTAATTTGTAGCATGGTCTGACGCCATCATATCTTGGCCATCTACAACTTGGCCATCTAACAGCCAATGATTATTACATTGTGCTTCTCATTATCATATAAACGTTAGCCTAGCTTTTGCAAATAAACTGTTTTTCATTCATGGTGTTTCATATCGAGTTTTGACCTGCTGGTCAGGTAACCAAGTCTATTATCTGGAATTGGGCCACTCAAAAAGGTAATTGCCCACCCCCTGAGCTAAACATATCATTGGATTTCACTGGCTGCATATAAAGAACATTGTTCGGAGTTAAAGGGATAGTAATTTTTGAATAAAAAAATTGACATAACTGGAAATGTTGTTTGGACCAGGGAAATTTATATACATTCATTACACAAACATGCAAATTTTTAGGTTAGGTTTTTGATATACCGGTATATAGTGAGGAAGAGGAAAGTCCCTCTCAACCAAGCGTGCAAATTTTAAAATAGGGTTTTTACATTTATCGTTCACACTACCTGAACTGTTGATAAGATCCCTGTCTTCTTTTTCATTGTCTTCTTCTGACTCACTTTCAGACGATCCACTAGATGTCTCCCCATCATTTTTCGGGCTTTCTTAGCATTTGACCATTCCTCCTCACTATACATTTGTCGTTTCCTAGTTGCATATTTTTTTGCTGATTCATGTTCTTCTTCTATGTCATGTTCCGCTTCATCGGTTTCTGGCTTGTAGCCAGAATATTCACGCTTGGCTACCCTTCCGTGATATCTTTTCATGAATGAGCGACTTAATAGTCCACGCATGTTGCCGTAATTTGGATTACCATATCGACGATAATAGTGACTTTTCTTAGCCCCACCTAGTGTTTTTTTATCGTTTACGTTAGCGAGTCTCATTTTTAGTAAAACTTTCCTCTCGCCTTTCATGAAAGGACGCTTGCATCTTCGTAATTCATTTTTGAAATCTCCATCAACTTTATCCAATTGCTTTTGCTCCGAATCTGTAAAAACAGTGTACAAGTTTTTGACTATTAGAGAGAGGGGGGGGGGGGGGGGCAGCATTTTATCATGACAGTGGGCCATATACCCCAACTTTCCACGTCTAGCTGGGCAACGCAAAAAAACGTTTCCACTATTTCAGTAGGACTGGCATTAGAGCATGGTTGTGCAACATTTTATGTCGGTGGGCCATATAACCAACTTCTGACGTCCAGCTATGCCATACAAAAAATTGGTTTTTCATGTACAGTACAAATTAAAAAATTAGCTACAACCAAATTGCCATGGGAAAGGCAAGAGAATGCGGCTATCAGTTAGCCTTCCAATACTGAAAGCGCTGGACAACATGGTGAAAGAAAGAAAATGCAGCGACAAGAGCAAAAAACATCATGGATTTTGTACACATGTGAGCGCCTTTTGAAATAAATTAGGATTTTATGCTGCAAGGGGAAAAATCTGAGTATTGATAGCGGCCACACTAAATAGCTTGGCGGGGCGAGTTGTGGCCACAGAATAGCGTTTAACACCCCTGGATTAGGGGTTTTGATATTATTTATTCCGGAAGCCAAATTATGATACTAATCCTCTCGCCTAGTCATCGCAGTGTTGGAGAGGCTTGAGTTATAGAATCACGATAAATTGACAATTTATCGAAGATTTGTAGCGAATTGATTGAGTCATTTACATGAAAGTCTGTAACTTTGTTCCGAGATCAGTCATCTTAAGAGCAGGTTCGGTTCACTTGACCATGCAAATTTCGGCGCTCCGGAAGTATGTGCACCGAGATGGCGCACAACCTGAGCCCTAACCTGGTAAATATACTATGTTCAGGTTGAGCGCCATCTTGGTGCACATACTTTGGGAGCACCCAAATTTATTAATAACCGTAGTGTTCACCTTTTTCAGTGTTCCCTTCATCAACTTCCATTTCTTCATCGGTTTCCATTAAGTCTAAGTCATCATCTTCATCTTTAGCTTCTCCCTTCGTTTCAGAACCCTCCTGTGTAAGAATAAGAATTAAAATTTATTTTTGTGAAAATATTTTTATGTTTTCAAAGAGAATTGCTTGAAGCAACGTCATCAGGTGCACTTGATCAAAAATAAAGAATCTTCATTTCTGAATACGCTAACAGAAGACCACTGAATACCCAGTGCTACTGAAAAGATGTATAATTAGGACAATTCTATGTGTAAAGGGTGAATGAAACTAGGCCGACTTAAGTAAATACTGCGAGAAAACAGTTACGCTTGCGAGAAATAAATTTCACGTAATTCAATAGAAGTAACATGCACTAACTAAGAAGCAAAGAAAATTAGGACCTCCTGAAGTATGTGCACCAAGATGGCGCACAACCTGAACTCAGGTTGTGTACCAGGTTAGGGTTCAGGTTGTGCGACATCTTGGTGCGCATACTTCAGGAGTACTAAAATTCATTACTTTTGAGAAAACTCACAGATTCCAGTTACCAGAACTACAACATATCCCCCCATATAAGCCGACCCTACAAATTGTAACAAACCTATTACAGTAATTGGTTGCAGAAGAGAATTAATTGAAATGATAATCATTATTATTATGTTTTACTGTTATTAATAACAGTGAGAAGTGTCTCGAAATCCTTCAAATTCATCCTCACTATGACTGTCAAATTCCTCAAACTCGTTTGAGTGCGGCCAGAGTTATGCGCACAAAAGCCAACCCCTTAGTTTTAAACTCGACTTGAATGCGGGGATATGCCATTCAAGTGAATACAAACAGGAAAACAGCTACGGAGGTAATGTTGTTGATTCCGCATAACTGAAGTTTATAGATTTCATTTTTATCCTGGAGAATGACATGGATTTAATATAGTCATGCGTTTGGTTACAAGTCCAGGTCAGGTATATGGAGAGTTAATCAGTCACTTGTTTTATATGAATATCCTTGTATAGTGGAATGGGCATTTCAAATCGAATAGTAAATTATTCGAATCGGTTTAGAGCAAATTTTCGAATCACCGCCATCTTGTTTTACTCTTTCCGCCAATGGTCGAGGTAAATTTCTCAATTTTTTTTCAACACAATTCTGACTTATGACTCTTTTCTGTATTGAGGTATTGATGAAAACGTGTTTTTTTTTTTATTGTCAGTGATGTATTCTATGTTTTCGGTAATTTATGTGTCTGGAGGACCTAAAATACTAAGAAAGTTACATACAATTTCATACCTTCCAAGTATTCGAGATTTGATTCGAAAAAAGGTGCTCCCGAAGTATGCGAACCAAGATGGCGGACATCGTAACGTAACATGGGTAACAGGTTAGGGTTAGGCGATAATTTTTTTCCAATTTTCCATATTTTAGTCCTATTATCAGTTCGAAGACTAGCCAAGAGCCTCCCGTAGTATTTATGGCCTAACCCTAACCTAGTACACATATTACATTCCGATGTCCGCCATCTTGGTTCGCATACTTCGGGAGCCCCCGAAAAAATTATTCGATTCGATACTGAAATCATTAGGTATTCGAAAATGCCCAGGCCTAATAGTAGAGAAAGCTACAACCATTCACTGATTGAGTGAAAAACAATGAAGGCTAGCAATCTCCAAGCACATGACTATCCACATAGGATACAAGCTCGAAAACTAAAGGGACTAAAACAACTAAGATACAAACGAGAATATCGGTCGGAGACCGAAGACTTGTCGATCGAAACTTCGGTTTCGATTCATGACTCTATAGTGACACCAAGTGTCCCATCACTAATTAATTAATAACTCGCTAATTATACTACATAATTCATCCAAAATCAATAGGCTTTTGGTCCGAGATATGATGAATGCACATGCAAAATTTGGAGCAGATTCAACCACGCCTTCGTGAGATATCGCGTGCATCTAACAGACAGACAGATACCTATCAACACACTTACCGATCTAAAGATCGATAAGTAATAAATTGAAATAAAAAGAACTTCAGTTCGATCATCTGCGTCTGAGTCCGAAAACGAGTCAATCACTGATTTACATCTCACTGTTCTTTTATTTGTGTGAATCGGGTCACTTCAAGTCTTCACAAATGGTCACCAGTCCAGCCGACACTGTAGCAGTGAAAAGTATAGCAATCCTTTCACACATACTTATCCCCACTGGATTCGAACCGGCAAACTTACCTTAGTTTTATCAGACTCATTAGCTCCATCTTGTGATTTCGTTCTCAGTTTATAAGGTTTTGTCATTTTTAATAAAGCAGAGGCTGCAGATTCAGTATCTTTCCAAACAACATTACACGACGTGTCATCAATCCACTCGATGTGGGAGGGAAAATGGTCGCTGAAAAAACTAAAAATATCCTCCGTACTCATGTCATCAAGTCCTCGAAGATGAATGGCGTCGAGTCTGATTGACTAAAAGAGAAAATGATGAAAATATTTATAAGAAATGATAGGAATATTTTTTATAATATACAAATTCAACTCCAAACAAGCTACCCAGTTTATTTTAAACTCCAAGTGAGTTGGTGTGCATGGGGTCGAGTCTTATGCCTGAATTACGACTACCGTATATGGTCGTTTTACCGCCCGTTCTTGATTAAGGGTGTGAACAGAACATAAAAATAAATAAGGGCCGCCGATGTAGAAGCTGATTTTTCAGTGGTAGAGAACAATAGGAAATAAGATGCGCTTTTGTCACAACGTTGTTGAATTTTAAGCGCCGGTAGATAACACTCACGCCTTAGGAGTCCAATTACATAACAGATAGCATTGATTACGTAACACCATGGTTCTCAAACTCAAGTGCATCGTTTCAATATTGATAGGGCGTCGCAAAACTTTCCTTCTTTTGCGGATTTGTACCTGCGGTGCGTAGAAAAAGTCAAAATTTCGATCGAAAATAACAAGCGCCCGTGCTTGAATAAGGGCCCGGTTAGTGAATTGGTTGATAAAAATATGGGCCCGGGCTACAAAACGAGCAAATACGGTATGTACAACAAGCAGTCATTGCCATGTAAGAATCTAGCATTTTTGCAAAAACAAGAATATTTCTGGTTTAGCATTGCTTACCCAAACAATTGCACTCTGGTTAACGTGGACGTAACGTGGTCAGACCTTCGATTTCAAACAATAACATCAAAATAGTTACGCCAGTGCTTCCCAACCTTATCGATTTTAATCGGTAAGTATGTTGATAGGTATTTGTCTGTCAGATTGAATCTGCTCCAGATTTTGCATGTGCATTCATTTTATCTCGGACCAGAAGCCTATCGATTTTGAGCGAATTATGTCGTATAATTAGCGAGTTATTAATTAATTAGTGATGGGACACAAGGTGTCACTATGGAGTAAGAGCGCTGTTTTGGGGGATCCCCTAACTTTCGATCGATAAGTCTTCGGTCTCCGACCGATATTCTCGTTGTTGTATTAGTTCAATTCCTATCTTTTATCTATTTTTCCCTCACTCTGCCTAAAAACTAGGCTCTCAAATTCGATCATTTCAAGAGTCCTCCGTGTGTGGTACAGAGTGTGGACAACCTACAGACTAGTCTTTCTGCAGCTTGAATGGTCCATAATGTGTGCATATACAAGTATTACATTAATAGCCTACTAAAGGAATAAAGAACGAGTATATCTGTCGGAGACCGAAGACTTATCGATCGAAACTGCAGTTTCGATTTATGACTCTATAGTGACACCGCGTGTCCCATCACTAATTAATTAATACATCGCTAATTATACGACATAATTCATCCAAAATCAATAGTCTTCCTGTCCAAGATATGATGAATGCACATGCAAAATTTGGAGCAGATTCAACCACGCCTTCGTGAGATATCGCGTGCATTTAACAGACAGACAGACAAATACCTATCAACATACTTACCAATCTGAAGATCGATAAGTAAAAAAGAATGATAACACTACATTCAAATATAAAGTTGAATTCCCCTCTTGAACTGTTAAATTCCCTCTGGTTGGGAGACACTGTCCTTGCCAATTGTATTTAAGCCTTTTACCTTTAAAATATCCCCTTCTTCGTTCATTTTCTCAATTTTTGCGATGAGATTTTTTACGGCGTCTAACTCATTATCCTCAGGTTCAATCTCTCCTCGTAACAACGGAGATTGGAACCTCTGGGCACGAGTTTGCTTTCGAAGTTTGGCTTCCTCAGCTGTCAGACCCATTTCTTTCAATAATTTGTTTTCATAGATCTTTGTGTGAGGAAATGATTTCGTCTCAAGCTGAAAATATGGATAACAAGAAGATGTGAAAAAATAAAATTATTTTATTTATGAAAAAATTTGCTCAAACCAAGATCGCACGGACTTACAAATAATAAGTTAAAGGTTCTTGGCAATGCAATCAGGAAAACGTCTACAGAGTAGTAAATTTCTCGTCATACTTTGAGACTTCAATAGCCTTCACATGAAGTTATTATTCAATCATGAGCTTAAAATATCAAATATAAATAATTTCAAATGGGTGTTTTGTGCAAAGCTCCCATTTCTCCCCACCACTCAAAATAAAAAAAATTAGTAATTACTCATCGATCTTGATCGGTTAGTATGTTGATAAGTATTTGTCTGTTAGATGCACATGATATCTCACGAAAGCAAGATTGAATCTGCTCCAAATTTTGCATGTGCATTCATCATATCTCGGACCAGAAAACTATCGATTTTGGATGAATTTTGTCGTATAATTATCAAGTTATTAAACACATAATGATGGGACACAAAGTGTCACTATAGAGTCAAAGCAAATGAATCGAAACCGCAGTTTCTGTTTTGGGGGATCCCCTAACTTTCCATCGATAAGTCTTCGGTCTCCGACCGATATTCCCGTTATCCAGTTATGACTGCAGATTACGTAGGAAATCCAGATCATTCCTAACACAAACCGGATAATTACTAATTTGTTATTTTAAAATGTGGTGGGGGTGTTTTCTCAGATCTCGCATTTTAGCATAGGTGCCGAGAACCGTGGTTGCCATCAAGCCAATTTCTACCCACTCCGGCCCCTAGCAGAATTGTGCGGGCAGGGTTTGGCATGTTTTCACTATAGTCATATTTTCTAACTCCAAGGAGCTGAAGTCAAAATTCTGAACAACCCAGAGTCTACATTTTATACTTTCAATAGTGATAAAAAGTAGGAATGCTCTTCAAAAATACAAAAAGTTTACCATGCCAAAGTTTTATCGGTGTAAAGTTTTAACTTGTAATACGAGAATATCTGGAGCAAATTCAATCTCGCTTTCGTGAGATATCGAGTGCATCTAACAGACAAATAACTATCAACATACTTACCGATTAAAATCGATAAGTAATAACTAAAATGAGCAAAATCGAAATAAAATTATGTCCTAGCCCTAACCTGGTATACCGTTTTATTATCATATTTGATTCGTCAGAAGAGTTCAGATCTGGTATTTTTTACAACCCAGAGTCAGAATCAATATCTTTCTTCAACTCAGTCAGGGGGTCTGAACAAAATGTTTTTAACCAAAGCAAGAAGTCTAATATAAATTTATCCGACTCAACAGCCTAGAGTACCTTAAACTCCACAGCATCTTTTTCCTCTTTGACCTCTGTAACTTCCTCATCCTCTTCCTGGAATTCAACAATGGGTTCATCGCCCTGATTTTCATCTTGGTCTACAGATATTGTAAGATTTGGAACTAACGTATTGGACGCTTTTACCTCTATAACTTCCACCTCAGCGTCCGACATTTTATATTTTTAATCAAAAATTTTTTTATGTTTATTTCACTACAGGCAAAAAATACAATGTCATTAAATTGATTGAAACTCCGATTGCTCACACACGGATAAATGTACAGTACAGTTCGGAAAAGCAAATCATGACGCAATAAAATTTGATTTTATTTAACAATAAATTACATCAAAAAAGGTCTCAAAATATCTAAAATTGAATGTATGTGAAACACAACTGTTCTTTTGGGAATACAGGGTGTTCAAAAAATTTCGCCTGATTTAATAGTAATAGCAATCAAAAATTTCTTTGTCTCTGTTTATTATTAGTTCTTAATATGCTTGTAGTTCTTATTTATCAATTATCATACAATAAAATTTATTAAACTTACAATTGTTATTACTGTAAAATCAGGCAAAAATTTATTGGACACACTGTATAAAAGATTATGTGACTGGATGTCTGATATTTGAGTATCGTGCTTCACGACTCGACAGTATTTGAATAGATTTAATTTAATATTTTGCGACAAGTTCTAAACCAGCAATTCCTAACGGGGGCCACAGCGCAGTTTTAGGGGGGTAACGCTAGGCGCAAAACAGTTTTCACTTTTTCCCTTCACAAGAAACATTCTTCCCCATTCTTCCTAGTTTCATTTCTTTGATAAGGTCATTACAAAGAGTGTTTTCTCTTTGTTGAGCACGAATTGTTTGAACATAATAGGATTTGAAATCCACCAATGAAAAAAACAATATAATTACAGAAATACCAATGTAATGATAAACAAGGGGACATGAACTATAAATGGTTGGGAACCACAGTTTTAAACCCCAAACGTAACACAAAGGCACAAAAGTAATTATTAGGAAATAAATTAATATCTTGTGACACACCCAAAATTTTCTTAAGTTGCACACTTGGTCATGCATGAATGTTTCAAACGTATTCAAATAAATTAGCATATAAATGGAACTTTTTTTTATCTAATGTCAGGGAGGGCATACAATGATTTGTGGCCTAAGGTTTTTTTTACAGTTTTTGGATGTATTGAAATAATTTAAATTAATTGTGATTTCGAAAAGTTTGAGAACTTTATAATTAAGTACAAATTGTATTTGATCAAATACAAATATCCCAAATAAATTCAGCTCAATCATAGATATTGTTAGACATCAGTTGCTAATTGTACTCAGCCATGTTCAGAGCAAATTGAACAGCCAGAGTTTATTGTTTTTTGAAAAAGCCAGAATAGAACGGTCTGTATACAAATGTGTTTATAATTTTCAGTTTTCAAGGACAAAATTTTCTTCAGAAACTAAGAAAGCACTAAAAAAACTAGAAGTTTACTGAGTGTTTTTATTAATAGTTTATTGAAAAAAAGGCATGAGAAAACCAAAGTTTTTGTTATAAAATTTGAATTTTGGAACCCCCTTTTTGAAATGTAAAAAAACAGCACTTCACTGTATCATAAATAACAATTTTTCATAGCTTGAAACGTTTTTTAGTCCCTAAAATTAGGAATTTCATAACGCCCTCCCGGACTATACCTTTGTTGGCCGTTCATAAAACTTTTATCTTTCTTCACAGAATTTGCAACGTTTTCGGTGTTTTTTAACGTTTTTTTTTAGAGTAGTCTATTAAATGTGTTGTGAGTTTGAGAACTTCTTGAGTTCGGTATATGAAATATTAATATCCCAAATATATTAAGCTCTATCATAGATACTATTAGATTCCTAAATACGCCTCCGTTGGCTGCCCATAGAAGTTTTATCGTTCCTTTTAATAGTTTTCAGTTTTCATGTCATTCAGTCCAAGTTCTTCATTCTGATCGAATGTCCGTTCATAAAGTTCGATTTTCATTTCTGGGTCATCTTCTGGGGCGTAGACATTCTGCAGATACGAGTTACCTGCTGGGTCATCCATTATGAATGTAAAATTCGATTTCCCGTTTTTTAGACTCTCTAATTTTTCTCCGAACGTTGTGATATTTTTTCTCATGTCGGCATCCACACTATCTCCCGCTGTAAAAGGGTTTTTCTTAACGACAAGGTCCCTGATATCGTCCAGTAAGCCTTCCAAAGTAGTGAATTTTCCTGCGATCGCATGACCCCCAATTTCCATATCAATTTCTGGAATACGCACAAAGCATGTTTCAGATTTGAGTAAATCACGATTCATATCTGAAGCATCAGTAACGTTCAAAGTTATCTTTTTCCCTTTTTCTTCAAATCCTGTGCCAGATTTGACTTCATTTGTACGATCTCCACATGCGTCACACGATGTCGCCATTAGGATAATTTCTTTGAAGTGGGGGATGTCTACCATTTTCATATTTGTATCCACTGGTGCGTTGCAATTCGGACAATTTGTTTTAAATTGCATAACCTCTCCTGGTGCAGGGTTATCCGTCTCTTCAGATTCGTTATTTCCATCAGCGGGGGCAGCAGAGATCCCAAGAGCTTCGTTTTGTTGTTTCGTACGCTCAAAATGTGAAATTATCATCTGCGGGTCTGGATTTGGTGCGTTGTAATTTTCAATGTGACAATTTCCTGCTGGATCTTCAAGAATCATCTTAAATGGTTTTTCTCGTGTTTGAAGTTCTTTTAATTTTTTAACAAAAGCATCAATTTTTTCAGCAGTTGCGGGATCCATGATGCGTCTAACTGGTTGTTCTTGTTCTAACCCACGTACAGCACGATCCATCACTCCTTCGATTGTCGTTAAAATACCTTTTTGCGACTCGGGAGGTATTTCAAAATCAATTTCTGGGATTTTTATCGTAGTGGACTCCGTTTTTACGACTCGCCGATTGAGGTCACGCTGAGGGTCAACGTTGAATGACATTTTTACCCCAAATTCTTGAATAGGATCCGCCGATTGTAAGTCAGTATCTGAATGACCACAATGATCGCACGAAAACGAACTAACGACTAGATCCTTGAAGAACGGAATTTTGGTGAGGAGTAAGCGCGTTGTTCCTTGCTGGTGACAATACATACACAAACTCTGGATTTCGGTTGTTTCCAATTCATCGTGGTCAGACTGAAATAAGGGTTTATTTGTCTTGGTCTTTTTGGGCTCTGAAGCCATATTTTTTTGATGCAAGATTATTGAATAAATAAAGTTTAAGAAAATCTTATCAATCTAGTCCTTTGAAAATATGAAAAAATGAATGTTATGCTATGGCAGTACGGCACACTATACAAATCGGGTGACATTGTCCCGTTTCAGAGAAACCCATTTTACAGATGATCAGACACCCCTCCTTTGGGAGACCTCTAGACATTGTCGTCCCTCAATATCGAAAATAATACAGTATAATGAAGTTGCGCAAAATAGTACAAAAAAGCACAATCTAGTAACATCATCATTGAATTCCTTGGGAAAAAATAATCCGATTTATTGAAGAAAAAAAAAATTTTACCGTAGCATTCGAGAGTTTTTAGCAAAAAACGGCAATTTCGGTCATGTGACGGCCGCGATTAATTTAGGTTATTACTGAGACAAGCATGGCGCGATATGAAGCATCTGACGTGGTCCCAGACGCCCCTCGTTTGTGAGATACAAGAAGTGTTTGTTTTATTTAGCCAAATGGAAGTAAATTCTCGGAATTTGGATAGTGTGTTGTACTGTATGGTGAGGAGTGAGAAACCCTAAACTCTTGAGTCATGCCATGTTGCAGCTCACGCAAGCAAAACAATCGCTGAGTTACCGTATGTCTCAATCATCGATTTTGGTAAGCTCGGTGGTGTGGCGCATCGTTCTAAGCGTTTGGAATACTCTCACCCTCGCATCTCTCATTACCTTGTGTAAGACATTGGCTGGCGCTGGTCACCGGACGAAAGGCCGCCATATGATTTAGCGATCTTATCTCTCTTAATAAAACATGTAAATCCGGGTTTAGTGTAGTTTCGTACCTAAATTACCTCTAGTGGGCGTAGCATAACAGTTTTTGCATAGGCAATCCTAACCCCTACCTGGCCGTGGCATCCAAAAATTATGTCACCGTAACATAATGGAGCCCTTCAAACTATACGAACTAAACTATATGTCATCCAAGACACGCAGATGATCACCCAAAATCGGAGTGGAAGTGGTGACTCCTCTACGGCCAATGAGCCATCAAGTTGTGCAAAGGGACAATTCACTTGGCTAACACAGACAGTCCCCGAACTCACAATAAAACTATAATGTGAAAAATCTGAACAGAATTTTGTCCTAACCCTAACCTGGTACACATACTAAAGGAGTATCCTTTTCTGTAGCTTGGTATTTTGCTTTATTTTGATATACATGAGTATCGTAAGAAAAAAATTTTGAGGCATACCGTGATTTGTTTTTTTATTCGAATATTAACAATTTTGTAAAAATTGAAAATTTTGATAAGATAATTGTATTTTTCCTGATGGGGCCGCGGCTCATAGCTTGATGGGCCACGGCCCATGTGGTCCAATTAGATGGGCCGTAGAGGAGTCACCACCCCTGTAGCAAAATCGAGCAAGCTATTTCTCGCGTTTTCTCATCTCAACGATCTCAATATAACAGAGATCGCTGTCATTAGTGAGTTCTTTATCGTAGGCGCAGACGCAATTTCGGGCAAACTTAGTTATACTTCGCCAACTTTGTGATGTGATTGTGAGGTCGCAGTGACGTAATTTTTTGGATGACGTAGTCAGGTGGGGGTTAGGATTGACATGTTAAAAAAAATTGTTATGCTACGCCCATTAGAAGTACGTTAGGTACGAAACTACACGAGACCCGTATATCCTGCCCTATTAATTTTCATTTAAATAACTGAGCTCACAACATTTGTTTTTGAACTTAGAGTAGAAAAATTAGACTACAGACAATTCTCATGCATTAAAACAGGGATGTGCAAACTTCAGCCCCCAAGAAAAAATTGTGCAGCCAGCGGAGAAGTGTCAATTTTGAATAGTGCGCCCGCAAAATGAGTTTTTAGTTTAGTTAACCTGGTAGTCTACTAGTCCAGCGGTTCCCAAACTATGGGTTGCGACCGACTGGTGGGTCGCAAGAGGAATCTCAGTGGGTCGTGAAAAGATGTAGAAAGCTTTGATCAATTATACTGGTTATTAGGATCGGTGGCAAAGCAAATTTAAAAGCAAATTTCGAAATAAACTGCAACTTTCAATTTTTTACGTCTAAAACTATCTGAAATTGAAATAAATGTCAAGTCTATTACGGAAAATAGCAAGAAATAAGCTCATCTTTCTGACTAGCTTCACTGAAAATTCAATTTGAGAAAATAAATTTGTTTCTTCCATCAATGTTTAATTATTTTTTTATGGTTAAATGGGTTGCCATAAGCTGTAGTAAAAAATAGTGGGTCTCAACTCTAAAAAGTTCCCGATCCCGATAGTAAAGAGATCGCCGGCGTTAGCGAGTTCGTTATCAGCGGCGCAGATGCCATTTCAGGCGATCGTAATTATATTTTGACAAGCCCTATGACGTGATGATGACGTCGTAGTGACGTAATTTTTGGATGGCATAGTTAGATTGGGGTTAGGAATAACATATGCAAAATCCGTTATGCTATGCCCACTGGAAGTACCGGTACTTGTGGTATCAAACTATACTAGACCCTAAATTTGAATAGCAGTTTTCTTCATAAGTTTATGCGTTTACCTCACCATTTCTGTAAAGATACGGCCCGCGGCTTTACCCAGTTACTTGTATCTGGCCCTCCTACTGTCAGACTGTCCTATAAAGCTGTAAAGGTTGCACACCCTGGATGAAAATGTAAAATTAGGTGTAAGATTAAAAAGCTGTTAACTGCAGACTGCAGTCTGCAGTCATGCAAGGGTGGCACTTTTCGGTACTTGTCAGCTTAGGAAATAAACGTCCAAACTAAACGAATTTACCTGATCAAGTTTCAAGATTTTACTAATACTTTTAAGCCTGAAAACGCTGATATGTGGGAAGTCATACATTTTGACGACTGCCGACACAACACATGGGAAATTTACAGCAAATTCGCGAAAATTCTTGGGTATGTGCGCCACCCTGCGGATGCCATGATCAGCAAAATAAATCCATCTACATCCTCGAGATGGTGCCAATAAGCGCTATTTATTGTATTGAGCAACGTTGACTCAACGTTATCCATTAGAATTGGTTCGTTTAGCTGTGATATATCAGGATATTGGAATTACTAAAACAACAATGTCTTCAAGATGGATGGCGGTTTTACAACAGAGGCAAAGAGATCTTGAGAAAGTGAGTTGATGTTAATATAAGTCTATGTCATAGCTCTCTCTGTCTCTACTACCCACAATTAATTTAAATGACGTAATCAGGTGGGGGTTAGCAATGACATTTCTGCATTTGCAAAAATTGTTACGGCACGCTAGCTAAAAGTTATTGTGGTACGAAACTACAATTGACAGGAGACCCAAATGATTTTGAAATTTGATATGATTGTCAAAGGCTTTTGACTACACACACAGGATACTACAGAACTTTGCTTTGTTGCACCTCTGATTACCAAGCCTGGCTTTGCAGGTCCGAATCCCATGCGGGGATAATCATGTACGAAAGGATTGCTGGACCCCTTGCCACCGTACCGCCGTAAGGTGGTTCATACGGCTTTCTCCACCATCAAGTCCGTGCTTCCGAAAACAAATACCTGGCTTACTAATCCTATACTCAACATGGACTGGTAACCGGACGAGAGTCCCATGATTAAAGCTTGCAATGATATGGAGAGCCAACAATTAGAGGCACAGTTCTAACCACTTCATGGCAGCTCCTGCCACGAACTAACCGCGGCAGCTCTTGCCATGGTTTTATAGCGTTATTCAGTAATCAGTATTATCGGTATATTCACAAATTAATGTACAAGATTTTATTTGATAATGCAGAATTATATCTACTTAAACCCTAACCCAAATTCATCAAAACTGCATCCATAAGAAAAACGTTCCAACTTACCCAATATTCGTCACCATAAGGGACCTTGTTTTTACGGCCCATCTGCCGTGGTTACGGCAGCAAAATTTTACCTGCCATTGGTTTTCAATTTGCTGCCTCGGTAACGGCAGCTCGTCATTAGTTTGTGGCAGCTAAAAAGTCAGTCGCCATAGGTTTGGCTGTAGCTGCCATGGTATGGAAATACCGCCATGGTTTTGCGGCAGCTGCAGACGCCACAGAATACTTAAAACTGCACTTGAACAATTATACATTAACCAATACCTTTTTTTTTGTTTCAGACCAACGCGACATGTCAGAAATGCCTACAGAAAGGTCATTGGACATACGAGTGTAAAAACAAAAGGAAATATGTAGAAAGAACGTCAAGAACTAAAGAATTGAATAAAACTATTAAAGAAAATAAAAAGAAAGAACTCAGAAAGGTATGAACATGTACTTGGTATAATTTGTCTTCATCGCAACTTCAGAATCAATGAAGTTTGGGCCGGTGCTAAGTGTTTGGAATGCACTCGTTATCACATCTCTCATTAATGGGGTGTAGCTAGGGGGGTAGGGAGTTTGGGGATCATTACTTATCGATTTTAATCGGTAAGTATGTTGATAGCTATTTGTCTGTCTGTCTGTTAGATGCACGTGATATATCACGAAAGCAAGATTGAATCTGCTGCAGATTTTGCATGTGCATTCATCATATGTGTGAATTATGTCGTATACTTAGCGAGTTATTAATTAATTAGTGATGGGACACAAGGTGTCACTATGGAGTAAGAGCGCTGTTTTGGGGGATCTCCTAACTTTCGATCGATAAGTCTTCGGTCTCTGACCAATATTCTCGTTTTTACATTCTGAATGTAATGAATGATTACATTTTTTTGGTCCGCTCTGTAATTCTTACCATTATGAGACGAGTGATACAAATGACAGAATACCTTTGCTCTACTAAGCTCTGCGGAAAACTTTAAAAATTAACTGTTTCAACACTTTTAGACAAAACAGAAGCGGAGAAGGAAGAATTCTACAGGATCCTCATCCACTAGTAGCAGTAGTAGTTCATCTTCAAGTTCATCAAGCAGCAGCGATTCCTCCTCATCAAGCTCAGATTCGAGCTCTTCATCATCGAGTGATTCAGAGAATGAAGGAGGTAAATTTTTTAAATTTTTTTACGAGTTTTTCACACCCCACTCTGAGCAAGGCTTTGCATCGTAGCTAGAGTTAGG